CAAAATTATGCACTGAGATAATTTTGACCCTTTCTTAATGTGTTAGCTAGATAGAGACTATTTTTAAATTTTAAAAGCTACGTTGTCTTCATGAATTGACTCCAAAATTTAAAAATATATGTGGTTAATGTTGCAAATAGCTTTCTCATAAAGGAGCAATAAAAAAATATAAAATGATACATGACACCAAAGGCACAGACAACAAAAGAAAAAACAGACAAGTTTGACTTCATCAAAATTAACTTTTGTGTATCAAAGGACACTATCAACAGAGTGAAGAGGCAACCCATGGAATGGGAGAAAAATATCTGCAAATCATATATCTGAGAAGGAACTAATATTCAGAATATATAAAGAACTCCTACAACTCAACAACAAATAAACAAACAAATCGACTGAAAAATGGGCAAAGGAACTGAACTGACATTTCTCTGAAGAAATATACAAATAGCCAATAAGTACATGAAAAGATGCTCAACATCACTAATCACTAGGGAAATGCAAATCAAAACCACTTTACATCCATTAGGATGTAAACAAAACAAAACAAAACAGAAAATAGTAAGTGTTGGCAAGGCTGTGGAGAACCCTTGTACATTGCTGGTGGGAATGTAAAATGGAATAGCCACTGTGGAAAACAGTATGGTCATTCCTCAAAAAATTAAAAATAGAACTACCATATGATCCAGCAATCCCACTTCCGCGCATATACCCAAAAGAATTGAAAGCAGGGTCTTGAAGATTTATTTGTACACCCATGATCATAGTGGCATTATTTTCAATAGCCAAAAGGTGGAAGCCACCCGTGTGACCACTGGTGAGTGGATAAACAAAACATGATGCATACATACAATGAAATATTGTTTAGCCTTAAAAAGAAAGGAAATTCTGACATATGTTACAACATGGGTGAACCTTGAGGACATTATGCTAAGTGAAATAAGCCAGTCACAAAAGGACAAATACTGCTGGATTCCACTTATATGAAGTACCTGGAGCAGTCGGATTCATGGAGATAGAAAGCAGAATGGTGGTTGCCAGGGGCTGGGGAGAGAGGGGGAAATGTGGAGTTATTATTATTATTATTATTGGTGAGGAAGATTGGCCCTGTGCTAACATCTGTGCCTATCTTCCTCTATTTTGTATGTGGGATGCTGCCACAGCATGGCTTGATAAGCGGTATGTAGGTCCATGCCCAGTCTCTGAACCCATGAATCCTGGGCTGCCCAAGCAGAGCACGCAAATTTAACCACTATGTCAGTGGGCTGGCCCTGGGGTTATTATTTAATGTTTATGGAATTTCAGTTTGGGAAGATGAAAAAGTTCTAGAGATAGATGGTGGTGATGGTTGTGTAACAGTGTGATATACTTAATGTGACAGAACTGTACACTTAAGAATGATTGAAATGGTAAGGTTTATGTTATATATATTTTACCACACTAAAAAATGTTTAAATTAAAAAAATTGTGGCTATTTTTACACACACGCATTTATATAATCAGACTGCAGATTCTAGAAAGTTTTTGTCAAGTATCCTGGTCTTATTTTGAAATTCTATGAAAATATTTCAAAACATACGCAAAAGTAGAGAGAATAACGTGTGCAGAACTCCCCAGTCCCCGTCTCCCAGCTTTCCCACCTCAGTTTGTAGTAAACCCTCTTTGTGAGTGGTTAGTCCGTCACCCCAATTGTGGAGTTCCATGTGAATGTATTATCCTTACGCCAGTGATCTGAAAAGCCAACTGTACATAAACTTCTCATTTTTGTGAATTTTTTACAGGTGTCCCTTAGGAAACCTGGCTTATTACACACCCTGCAAAAGGAGCAGCGTTGTGTAGACCAGAAGTTGGAACCTTTTCTCTGCAGAGCCAGATAGTAAATATTTTAGGCTTTGTGGTCACATTTTGCTGTTAGTGCCCTCGAGTGGATTCCCACTGCCGCGACCCTGTGGACAGCAGAGTGGAACCTGGCTCGGTCACTCTGCACCATCCTCTCCCCTTCCAGTGCTATGTCAGACAATGCTCCACTGCTATTTGTAGGGTTTTCGTGGCCAGGCCTTTCTTCCTTGTCTGTCTTAGTCTGGAAGCTCTGCTGAAAACTGTCCACCGTGGGTGACCCTGTTGGTACGTGAAATCCTGTCGGTGTAGCTTTTAGAATCCAAACAACACACAGCTGCCACAGCATGACAACCGACAGATGGGTAGTGTGGCTCCCTGACTGGGACATGAACCCGGGCTGTGGTGGTGAGAGTGCCGGATCTTAACCACTAGACCACCAGGGTCAATTAGCCTTGTTGAACATTCTTGTTTTTTTCGTTCTTTTTAAATATCCCTATAAAGATGTAAAACCCTTTCTGAGCTTGTGGGGCTGTATGAAAAAGGTCTACTTCCAGATTTGGCACAAGGGCCGTAACTGGCTGACCCCTGGTAGACCTTTGGGGCCCTTCTGATGCCGACCCAGAGCAGAGCGGCAGATGTGGGCATCTAATCCATGTTGACGAAAATAATCCATAACCAATCTGTAAATGAAAATTTGGGTGAGTTTATTCTGAGCTGAAATCTGAGGACCATGGCCCAGGGCCTTTCTTCCCAAAGGAAGAAAGGGCACTGAAGAAGTGGGGTGCACATAGTGGTTATATACCCCCAAACAGGGTGTTTCACATAGGATTGAAATGTCCCTCCCACAATAGTCACAAGATTGCCCTGTCAGCACAGCGCTTGATGGACACAGCAGGTAGTAGGTCTGCTATCTCGGTAGGTGTAGCAGGAGGCAAGTCTATTGTCTCGAGCCGGGTGGTCACAGGTGAGCGCAGCAATCAGTTTCTAGCCTAAGGAAAGATGCTTAATCCTTAAGGAGACGCCAACGTTGGGAGGGGCAGGGAAGTTGCACCTTTACCTCAAGGGCCTTTGTTCTTGCCATAGGGAATCTCTAAAGCAGATATACAATGCATGCTCAACGGCCTTGGTCAGGCCCTTTTGGAAAGACAAGGTCAGGCCGAATTAGGTTTATATCAAATGGCTTCCTCATATTCTCCAATATATCCTATTGCTTGCCATTTTTATTTGTCATCCAGATCAGTCGATCTTTATGGTAGCCAGCAACCTCTGCCTGGGCCTGACTCAAACAGGATGGTTTCACATCTGATTGTATAAATGCGTGCATATAAAAACACCTACTTAAATTTTTTTTAACCATTTTTTCATTGTGGTACAATTTTACGTTGGTTCCTCTAAGTAGGATCCAACAGGCCTGTCAGGTCTGTTTCCCGGAACTCTGAGAAGCAAGAATTTAGAGGTGAGCAACCCCAGGAGAAACAGAGACTGGGTCCTAAGTGACAGACTCCTGGAACAGTCTCAGTTCCAATCCCAATATATTCATACAAGAAATCCCCTTTCTTGAGGAAACTTAAGTGATGCATTCCTTGTAACCAGAAGAATCTAAATTCCTCTCATCTATTGCAGATGTAAATTTGTACAAACACGGTGGAAGATAGTCTGGTCATAACCAGTAAAGTTGCATATGGGCGTGTCACTGCCCCCGCAATTCCACTGAGGGTATTTTGCCTGGAGAAATTTTTGTGCGTTTGCGTAGGAGCATCTATGTACAAGAAGATTCGCAGCAAGTAGCATGTGACCACAGTGGACTCTGTTAGCCCCATCAAACCCCAACTCTGCCACTTACACAGGTGCGTAACCTCAGACAAGGTGCTTATTTCTCTGTGCCCATTTTCCTCATTTGTAGGAGGGGATAATTATTCAATCCTCACAAAGTTGTGGTAAGGATTAAATAAGTTAATTTATGTAAAATGCTGGGCACACAGGAAATGCTATGTAAGTCTGAACTGTTGTTTCAAGTCACATATAGCAGCATTGTCTATAATAGCAAAAAATTGAAAACGACCCAAACCTCCATCAACAGATTGATAAATAAACTGCGGTATGCTCACACTATGGAATGCTGTAGAGCAGAGGATTGATAAATAAACTGCGGTATGCTCACACTATGGAATGCTGTAGAGCAGAGGATTGATAAATAAACTGCGGTATGCTTACACTATGGAATGCTATAGAGCAGAGGAGTGGAAAGAACGGACGAGGGCTCTATGTGTCAACAGGGTTGAATCTTAGAACAACACTCAAGAAGAGGCAGGCACAGAAGAACACGTGTCATACAACCCCAGTGTGACCAAATAAACACAATTAAACCTATCACATAGAGACACATACACAGGGAGAAAAGGACCAAGAAAAATGAGAAAGAGACAAAAGTCAGGGCAGTGATAAGGAGATGGGTCACGACAGCCTAGTGACATCTGTGACGTTCTTCAAGTTTAGAAATCGAGTGGTAGGTTCTGTGTGTTGTAACGTTATAAATGTAGGACCGTGGATCCCAGGGAACCAAATCTAAATGTAAAGATAAATTAAATGTAAAGATAAAATTTACCTGGAAAAGAACTGAGCTTGTTGAAATGCGGGAAACGAGAATTAAAACAAAAAGGAAACGGTTAACATGCTCTCTAGAGACGTCACTGAGGAACTAAACTGTTGAATGTAGCTTGCTCTAGAAAATACTTTTTTAATGACAACTTATCAGCACTGGCGTATTTCTGATTAAAACATTTGTCTTCATAAATTCAAAGTCAGTATGACCTGGGGGTCAAAATAGCTGGATTAGATCATCCTGTACATAGTTAACAATGTTTTAACAATACAATAAGCATTGAATTTATATAATGAGATGTACACATTCATAGGAAAAAAAAAGAGCTCTGGGTGGGAGTTGGGTGGGAGCAAGGAGTCAGGAAACCCTAAATAGTCGAACTGTGAACGGGTAAAATAGCAAGAGAGTAATTCTTCTCTAAACATAAGAGAAATAGGAAAAACACCAGGAAATATCACTATGTTATAAAAAAGAAGAGTGAATTCAATATTGAAGTGATTGTTTGGGTAGTAAGCTTGATTCACTTTCCCCAAGATTTAATTAAGCTGGTACATGGAGTTTAGGAGTGAAGATATCTCTGGACAGCTTCACTTCCAAAAGCCACTGCATACTTAGCTAGTTTCCCAGGAAACAGCGAGTACACTGCCTTCTGGACATCTTGAGGGGTGAGGGTACACCGATTTCTGAAATACATCATGCTGCAGGCTTCCGTAGAAATGCGCTCGAAGATGTTGTTGATCAAGATGTTCATGGTGTCCAAGGTGCGAGCCGATATGCCCCTCTGGGGAACCACTTCCTTTAGGACCCTGTTTATGTAGAGTGAGTAATTTCTGTGGCCACGGTAGGTGCTGGCGTGTGATTTCTTTCTGGAGGCTGGGCTTTGGCGTCGTCTGGAGCACCTGCTCTTCTTGGTGGAATCTCTGGCCATTGTAGATGTTCTTGTCAGTTACGAGTGGAGAGGAGAAGGGCCTGAGAATTGGGGGAGCTCTTGGATTTATGCCTGAGTGTCACAATCAGACTTCCAGGCTTCTCTCTCATTGGAGGTTACTCTCCCCATGTCACAATCATCTGGTGACGACAGTGATGTGTTGTTAAGGGAAAACCTTGTTCTTGGCCCACCTAAAGCTTTCCTAAGAAGATAGAGTGTTACAGGAGGATTGAGGCTGATGTCATGGGAGAAGAGCACTCATTTTTCCTCCTTTATTTCTTAGCAGTTTGTAAGCATAATAGACAATATTTTCAGAACTGGGCAAACCTCATCAAATTGCAGGGTTAGTAAGAGGAAAGGAAAAAGTGCCATAAGCCTTTTATTGGGGGAATTTCTATTTATAAAAGTATTCATAAATTCATATTATAAACAAGTGATCAATTAAACAAGCCATTAAAAATCTCGTTATGATTATTTTATAATAAAAATAAATATGTACAGCTAATCTTCTTTTAAAAATTATGCCCATTATTTTAAACAATCCTAATTTTTTGTGGACCCCAACGCCTTAGGAACAACTATGTACAACTGGAGAATAAAACAAACACTCCCCTATTTTCTTGTTTAAATTATGATATGTGAACTGTGTTCATTAACTTTTTATGATGATATTAGTATCATTCTTGAAAATTTCAAAAATCTCATTACACGGTCTTGTTTTTTCACCTGATCCTGTAGTTCTGTCGTTATTGACTGAAGCGTGTGGGGGGTCGTTCCTGCTCATGTGTCATGTTGATGTTCATGCTTTACAAAAAAAATCTCCATTTGCTTTCTTAATCAAATTCATCTGGATAAAGTAAAAGAGAAATAGACAAGAGTATAAAAATTGCCACTCACAAGCATTTTGAGAATTCACAATCACCCCAACTATTAACGCTGCCACGAAAGGTCCTCGCCTGTGACTGCTTCACAGGAAAGGCAGATGGGCCTGTGTGGAACTTCTGGAAGGCTAGCTGTAATTCCTCCCATTTTTCTCCTCCCCAAGAAAATAAATCTGAAATAAGGTGAGTAAGAACAATGTTGTTATAGGGACAACTTTGAACAAGCTCTAAGGTTTTAAAGCCAGCGGGCAGCATTTGTCAGTGTTGACTTCATTGCTGGGAACCGGCTGAGATGGAGGCCGCCCCTTCGGTGTATGCTTTGGGCTGATGGGTTTTCTGTCAGCTCTTGCTAACTTTGCTTTCAGATTTCTCTGGATATAATTACTTAGCTTAATTATAGCACAGCTTTATATAAGCTATCATTTAGAAGAAACTGTCAGGTGGAGAAGGTTCATTTCCTAGTCCTCACGCGCCCATGTGGAAGAGCTTCCGTGAGGGTAACACTCCTGGCCTCTCCCCTCCTCCCTTCTTCTCCCTGGACCAGTCCTCCCTGGGATGGTGAGGCGGGGGGGTTGGGGGGGTGGTGGGACAGGCAGGCCTCCCGCAGCCCTCTGCGCCCGCTCGCGTCTGACTGTGGCCGCTCTGCCCCTGGGGCTGGATCGCTCTGCTGGCTGAGGTTTCCGTGTGGTTGTCCTGCTGGATTTGGAGGGCTCCATTAGGAAGCCTGTCGTTGCCCCACACCGGAGCGCTACTCTCCAGTTTGTCGTAGTAAAGCTGACATTTTGATCCCCATCCCTTTGATCCCTGTGACTCTCAGTCGGTTCCGTGCCTGGGTGAGGAGAAGGAACGCTGCACTCTATCTAGTACAGGAGCGAAAAGAAAAAAAAAACTGTACGCTCAAATACTCATTGATCAAAACGTTCAGAAAACGAGGAATACTGACCTTGTAAAGTTTCTGGCTACTTTAGGGTGAGTTCCCTTTTAAAATTGAATGAGTCATTCTAAAATATGTATGAGTTCACCACCAACGTACTGATTTATCTTTTCCTTCTCCCTGCCTCCTCCTCCAGACAGTCTGGAACAAGGGACAGACACCTTTTAGCATAATGACCTTCAGGAGATGCCTGCTGGGTTCTCAGTCTGAGCAATTCAGCAAGTCTGATCACTTTGCATCTGCTGTACCCTGAGGACAGACACTGTGAAGCCCTCTCTCCTCTCCTCTCTCCTCTGCTCTCACCCTCAGGGTCCTAGCCCTGGAACAAAGCCTGGAGGCACAAGAGAGTGAAAGGACTGATGACCAGAGGTCTGGGGTCCCCAAGCTGCTCAGTGTGGCTGGAGTGCAAACTTAAGAACTGTTCATGCCTCTTTCCAGGCTCTTGTTCTGAGCTGGATCACACCATGTCTGTTTGGGCCATGGGCTGCGTGTCTTCCAGGATCCAGTATGTACAGTACCGGGGTTACAGCTACTGATTCTTTCGTTCATGATTGAGGGTCTTGTATTGACTCAAGGTCGTCATCAAAACTCTGTGATCGTTCCGCAGTAACTGCGGCAGAGGTGACATTAATTCAAAGCTGAAAACTCGCATTGACAGCTCTGAGTGTGCTCTGCGAGCATTTTACAGCTGCTGCATTAGTTTACTATGGCTGTTGTAATAAATCAGCACAAATTTGGTGTCTTAGAACAACATGAATTTGTTATCTTATAGTTCTGGTGGTCAGAAGTCTGAATGGGTTTCATGGGGCTAAAATCAAGTTGTCCACAGGGCTGAGTTCCTTCTGGAGAATCAAGAGGAGGACCTGCTTTCTTGTCTTTTCCAGCTTCTAGAGGCCGCCTGCATTCCTTGGCTTCTCCTCCATCTTCAGCACCGGTAATGGGTGGTCAGGTCTTTCTCGTGCTGATCCCTCTGACCCTGTGTCTCCTGCCTCCTCCTTTCACTTACGGGGCCCTCGTGATTACACTGGTTCCTCCTGGACAGTCAGGATCATCTTCACATCTCAGGATCCTCAACTTTGTCACATCTGCAAAGTCCATTTTGCTATGTAAGGTAGCACTTTCACAGTTCAGGGGTTTGGGGCATGGACACGTTTGAGGGGCATTATTCTGCCCACCACAGCCGCCACGAACAGAAGGCGATCCTCAGGGTCTATCTAGGTCGCTGATGGTGTAGAAGTTGGAGATGAAAATACTGTCCTTAGTGGATGACCAGAAACATATTTTAAAAATACTTCCTGTATATGGGCTAACTGTCTTGGAATTTGCTTATTTTTTTCTAAAAATGGAGAGTTGTCTTGGATTTTCGCTTTCTGTGCTGCGTCTCTACATTATGGCTCCAAAAATCTGCTAAATAAAATTGGCTTTATCCCTGGAAGGCCAGAGGATGACAGTAGAGGAGACAGATTTTTCTTTCCTCCCTCATTCTCATGCTCCCTTCTCACTCTCTCTTCTCCTGCTTGTGTTCTCTCCCCTCTCATGCCAGTATTTACTGAATGCCAACTATGCGCCAGGCTCTGCATCAGTTACATTGTGGGGGCACAGCAACGAAGAAATACAGTCCCTATTCTCAAGGAACTCACGGTTTATTGAGATAGACAGACGTGGAAGTAATAGATTACTGTGAACAGGGTATGACTGGGCATCCACGGGCACAGTAAGAAGACGGGGTGGTTCCAAGGCAGGCTTCTAGGAGGAGGTGATGGTTTAACTGAACCGTGATGGATGTAGAAGTTATTCAGGCAGATAAGGGGCTGCGGTGGAGGAGGCATGGCTGTGTAAATAAGTACCTCAGGGAAAGAGGTCCTCTTTTTTTGCGCATGAGAATGGAAGCCCTGTGGTCTGAAAGAGCCCCAGTGTGCCTGCCCTTGCTTGTCTGGCGGTATTCAGGTGTGAGAGAACGTGAGATCTCTAGAAGGAGGCAAAGGAAATGAATTTGCCAGGGGAGAGTCCAGGCTTAGGTTAAGGCCGTGGTTCCGAAGCTTGGGCACACACTGGAGTCACCAAGGGGGACTGAAACCCACGATCAAGCCAGCCGTGCCAGGGCTGGACCCCAGACTGACCGGATCAGCGTCTGCAGGACTGAGGCCAGGTGTGTTTTCTTTTCAGTTCTTTTCATGTTCAGCTGGGGTTGAGAGTCACTGGTTGAGCTAAGATCAAAATGTTTGAAGGTGTTGGGAAGCTTTTCATCAACTCTGGAATGGGATTGTCAGGGAAAGGGCTAAGAGGGAGGGGCGGAGGGGAGGAGGGTGCGGAGGAGGCGGAGGACAGAGGGATAGCGGAGAGCAGATGAGAGGACGGAGGACGACGGAAGAGTGACGCCTGAGGGGACACAGTCTCCGGTCAGGGACTCCAGCGTCAGAGACACGAAGACACAGACTACGGTGTAAACTAGTTTCTGTGCGTTTGCATCGAGGCTAACTTTGCCGAGAAGCTCTTTCGGTGCTCGGCAAGGGAGCCGTCTGGGAGAACGGAGGAGGGCCCGCGGAGGAGGGTGGACAGACCAGGACGCAGGTTGCTGCGGAATCTTACTTGTCTCCCATGTCCACACGTGAGGGGAGCAGAACAGACAAACTTCCCATGTTCCCCTTTTCGGATTTGTTGACAATTCTCCGGCCTAGGTCATTTCTCTCTCACTTTATTCTGCCTTTTTTTGCTGGATTCCTGAGGCTGAAGCTCCTAAACTCAGTGGTACAGAGCGCTCTTCCTCCCAGAGCAGGGTCACCTGTGTCCTGCTTTGGCTAAGCTGAAAGCTGGGTCATCGCTCTCAGATGACCCGAGGGAAGGTAATTAGATTAGCCTTGTGCCGAGTAAGAACGTAAGAAAGGAATTAGCCTAGAAAGTAAGTAGAAGGTTGTCAATTCCTGATGAAGTTCCTGGTGAGTCTGATGTTCTTTAGTAGAAAACGGAAAATGTATTGGGACAAGAGAGAGCAGAAGCATTTTAATTTTGAGTTCTGGGTCACGTATTATAGTAAAACATCAGTTAACTAGGAAATAATTAACCCTTCTCCAGGACTCAATAGATTATCATTGTAAAATGGATTTTCCTCTGACTATAATAAGAGTGCTCTTGCTAAGCACATAGAATAGGAGAAAAGTTGCCCAAGGTCACCTGGCAGAGAAGGT